ATGTTTCTCAGTTGAATGAAAAAATCGAAACGATGAACGTGAAGATTGTGCAACTGAAAGCTGAGACTGATGCAAAACGTGCAGAAGAACAAGAGAAACATAACGAGTCGACGTTGGATACCTCAATGGAGGAAAAGATTAGTACTGCTGAACAATTATCATCCGAAGTGGCTGAACTGAGGGGAAAAAATAAAAAATACAGAGAAAAAATATTAGACAGGAATGCCAAACTGACTTCAATGTCCAAGGTTTTGGAAGAAAAAGAGGCAATCATTGAAGCGAGGAAGCGAGAGACGATTGATTTGGAGAATATTTTGAAAGAAATGAAGCAGAGCATCGTCGATAAGGATGCGTTTATCGAAAGTCTGTCGACAGAGTTGGATGCCACAGTACTGAAGTTGAAAGAACTTCACGAAAAATTCGAACAAACATTATCAGAAGAAAAATTAAGTTATAATAACAGGCTTGGTGAATTAGAAAAAATGTTGGCTGAGAAAAATGAAAAAATAATGTTTCTGGAGAACGAATTAGAGGTGAGAGAGAGATGCTTCAATGAGCAAAACGTTGAAATGATGGAGATTTTAAAACGAGACAACATGAATGTTACGAAAAATAATGAGGAGTTGATGAAAAGTTTGAAAAAATTAAATGAAGAATTTGAACAATTGAAGCAATTGAAAGAAAAACTAGAATTTGAAAGTCATGAGAAAGACAAAAAGTGTCAACTGCTGAATGATGATATCAACGACTTAACAAATCTGCACTCGCAATCTCAAGCATTGATTGCTAATCTTACTGATGGAAAAGTTCAGCTGGAAAAATTTGTGACGTCATTAAATAACCGAGTTGAAGAACTGAATTGTGTTATTGAAGACTATTCTCATAAGTTGAAGGGAAGTGATGAAGAGAAACAAGCCACACTTTCACAACTGACACATTCGAAGCAGTTACTCGTGGAAAGAGAAGAAGACATAAAGTCAAAAGATGATAGGATAGTGGCTCTTCTCAATGAAATTGATGATTTCAGGATGGAAAGTACTGAACACGAGGTTGTGTTGAAAGAAAGAATGCAAGGATCTATGGATGAATTCGTCAAAGAAGCTGAAAATGCTTTTAAAGTAGAAAAGGAAAAATATATGAAAGAAGTTGATGACCTAAGAAAAGCACTCGATCAACAGAATTCTCTACTACAGACGAAGGACGGCTTTCTTAATGAAAATAAAATAAAATTTGAAAATTACGAGCAAGTTATAAATACGCAGAATGAGCAGATTGAATCTCTCATGAATCTGAAAAAGGTTAAAGAAGAGGAACTGCACATAAAATTAGTTGAACTTGAATCGCTGAAGCAACGTTCAAATGAGCACCTATCAGTCTCATCAAAGGAAATCACTCATTTTAAAAACGAACTCGCTCTTAAAAAGGATGAAATTTTGAAATTAACGGAAGCTTTAGAAGAGAAGGAGACTGCATTTAAGAAGTGTTTGTCCGTGATGAAGAAACAAAAGGAAAGTTTGAAAGAACTTGAAGATGCCTTAAAAGTTTCCCAAGAACAATCTTCTTTATTAGAGAACATTAGGATTCTGTTGAAACTTGATAGCGTTGAAAGTATAAAAGATGCCGTGAAACAACTTGTCACTCACAACGAAACCTTGTTGGAAAGTGTTAGCAAACTGGAGACGATTTCGAAAGAGCATCCAAGTAGGGAAGATTTCGTAGCAGTTGAAACCAACGTGCACAGCTTGCAACAGGAGAAGCTGGAACTTGAAAAACAGATAGAGGAACAAAAGCTGGAAATAAATCAACTGATCTCAAACATGGAAGAACTCAGAGTTGGAAGAACAAAATCTGATGAGGAGATGATGATTCTTTTGAAAGATATGAACGCCACCAGGTATCTGCTGAGGCAGGTCGAGGAGGAGAACAGCAGATTGATTGAGGAAGTTGAAGGTCACAAGTTGAATGAGCAGAAACTAAACGAACAAATAAATGAATTAAGTTTCACGCATGTTGAAAATGTTAAAAAAATGGAAGGCCACTATAACGATCAGATGAACGCTTTGCATGAAGAAATTAATCTTGCAGACGTTAAAATGAAAGAACTTTTGATGAAGTACGACGAAGCCATGCACAACTCAGCAACCGTCGGCACCATTGAAGTAAATGGGTTGGCTGAAAAGTTTGAAACTCTTTTGAAATTGTTGAATGAAGGTGAAGTTGACAGTGCAATCCAGGATATGGATCATTCGACACCCAGCTACTTGCATTCATTGATTCAATACACAGAGTACAAATTGAAGCAGCTGCTTTCTTACTACAACCAGGCGAAAGAAGAAAATAAAACTTTAGCAGAAAACATTCGTTCAATGGAGTTGTCCTTTAGTAAACAATTCAGTGATCAGGTGGCAGATGTCCAGTTGACAAACGAGGATTTGAGAGCGAGGATAGCGGAATTGAGCATGGAGATCATGTTGAAGGACAAATACATAAGTGAATTGACTTCAAGTAATGATCAGCTGTCCTCTGCATTGCATTCGGTGCGTGCTGACTTCAACAAACTTACAGATCACGTTGTTGACGTGGAGCATGAAGTCGAATCATTAAGGACATCGTCATCGGTACCTCCGTCAGAAATAACCGTTGTTGAGCCAAGCATACAACCTACACCAGCACATGACGTCAAAACAATCCTTCTCCACCAACACCCCCAACAACTCCATCAACAAACTCAACAACAACAAACTACTTATGTACAAGAACGAATGCAAGGGTCGTCATCATCATTTCCTCATTTCAGTGATGATGATGATATTCCCAAGCCACATTCAACTGGGAAGTATCAAGCAGGTGGTGGTGGAGCTTCAAAGGAGGCAGACATGAGAAATGAGGTCAGCAGTAACGGCAGTGTTTGTTTCACTGTAAATTCATGCTGCAAACGACCTTGTAAATATTACTTGGGCGAGTATGCTTGCACGTCAATATACTCTTTGACAAATGAATTGTCTAACAAAATTACTGCACGCTCAAATGAACCATTTTAAAATGACTTGCAGATAAACAGGCTGACGTCGCAAGTACAGACACTTACCAGCAGGCTAAATGAGGCCGAGAAAAAATTCTGGGAGCGAGATAGTGAATATTCGAAATTGTGCCAGGATTACGAGCTGCTGTACTCGCACGCCACTGCCATGAAGCATCACATGCAGCTCGTTTCGCCTGACGACCAGCAATGTAAGAAGGATGAGGTTAGTTGCTGTTATGTTTCTTGTCTGCAATTCAGTTTCATGAGTGAAATACGTTTAGGTTGTTGATCAATTTTCAATCAATAATTTCGTTGATTGATTTTATTTGATACATTTTTCAGCATTCCATAAATATGTTTCCCGACAACTATGGCGACGACGACGTCGATGATAACGACACGAAAAAGTTACTCTCCCATGATAATGATTTACGTAAGTTGATCCTTTACATTAATTTCAAAAAACATTGGTAAAATTTGGTAAATCGTTGCCTGTGAACATGACTCAAAAATAAAATTAACTATATATGACTTGACAAAACAAAATAAATTAATTATTATGTTAATTTGTGTAATAAAGTAGCGGTGAACGTAATTCTTGCAGTGACCCAACTGAAGATAAGATGGCTGCAGTTGAAACGAATCATTAAGAGGTTTGACCGATCTAGGTTTAAATGAGTTTTTCTACTCTACATTTTACTTTTTTATTTGCTAATTTTCGAATTTTAAATCGTTTTTTATATTTTTGGCCGTTAAATATAATTTTCTTTGTCTTCACTTTTTTAGTTTTGGGTTTTTTGGTTGTTTTTAGCTAATGTATTTTTCAAGTTTAACAATCTTTCTTGATAGCAAGGTTAATAGTTTCTAAATAGGAGATTTTATGTTTTGGTTTTAAGCTTTTAATTTACAAATCTTCTTTTCAGTGTAATCAGCAATAATTAAATCAATAAAAAATCTAATTAATTAGTATTCTCGTAGTAAATTAAAATTTTAAATCAATACATCAGGTATTCAGTGCGTTCAATATACAGGTACCGACCATACTTCACAAAGTTCGCCATCGTCTACATCATCTTCATCCACCTCCTACTATTTTTTTGGTGTTCCTGGTTCTAATAGGGACCTCAGCTGATTGATATGTGATGTTTGAGGTGTGAATGAACATCTTCCTTTCAACCGACTGATCATCGCCCATTGTTAAATTATTGTCATTTGTGGATGTGCTTTCAGTATATATATATATATATATATATATCATTTGTTTGAAATTTCTTCTAACACCTACAGATTTTTTAATTTGTTTTTCCAAAACTTTCAGGTTACTGATGAATGATACGTCTAACTTTTGTTTGACGCTTTAACTATAATGTAACTAATATGATATAAATAATATAATTAACAATTGTAATATATTAATAAATAAGTGTATCTATCGTTTGATTAACCAATTGTAATATATTAATAAGTGTATCTATCGTTTGATTATAACCAAATATTCACAACAGATTAACTCAACATACAGTTGTTACTTCTGCCATAGTGTTTAGATGTATATATGTCGAAAGCAGTTAAATCATGTATTTATATATTGTAAAAATCATTTTTATTAATGAATCAATTAATTAATTTATTAATTAATTAATTATATATTTATTTGGTATGTTTTCTAAATTCAGTTTCAAATGAATTTGCTATAACTTCGCATTCAACTGACGACTCCCTTTCGTAATCTTCATATAATTTATTTCAAAGATTTTTATTTCTGGGTTATTGCTTCATTAGTTACTCAGTTTTAATAAAATGAATAGCTTAGTTAAAATACTTAAATAAGATTATATTATAAACTGTTAAGACTCATAAAGTTGTGTATCACTGTTTGAGGGCTATATATTTATATATATATATATATATATATATATATATATACCGAAAAGATATCGGTTTGTATCGGTTTTTATGTCGATACGAAACAACCATCAACAGTACAAGAGAAAGATATTCAACAATTTTCATGCTACATAAGACTTTAAAAATTTGTTTAAAATAAAAATTTACAAAAATATCAATAGAATATATCAAATAAAGAGTAAAAATGTAATACTATGTTTAGTGTCTTAATTGCAACAACGACAACAACAATAATAATAATTCTTGTAGAAATGTTTTGATTGATGAGAGGATTGACGGTGATCATTTATAAACAAAAGTTAACGGAGTTATTAATATATATATATATATATATATATATATGTGTGTGTGTGTGTGTGTGTGTGTAAGTTAGTTTAACACAGTATCGCATCACTTTGTATGTAGTACAGTTAAATTCATTGGCAGTAAATAAGTTGATGCATGGTATAAAAAGTTGAAAACTTAACAAAACCTTCAAACGAAAAACGAAAACGTTCATGATAAAAATAAGATATATAATACAAATTCATCAGTAATTCAGTTAGCTAAGGATGGTAACAAATTGATCGTAATATCATTATTTTTCGTATTATTTCAACCAAAATTATATACATATTAATAAAACTGTCTAAATCAACAACGAAATAAAGCACTCGATGTATATATTAAACTATATTAATAAAGGAAACATTACTTAATTGGTGAAAAAATTTTCAAACTTGCGACGTTGCTGACTGCATAATTTGGGTAACATTCAAAAGAAGGTAAGATAGCGTACAAAATATAAAATAATTGAACTGATATAGTAAATGTTGCGTATGAAACAAACAGGATTTTTAAGAATAAAATTCAGATGAGCCTAGAAGATTTAACATAGGCATTCAGAGCTCTCTTCGCGAATGCATACTGCGTAACTGTTTGTACCAAGTGCATCCTCTTGTCCCTCAAAATTCTCAACAGATCTGGCAGATTCATCTTCAAATTCTGCTCCACCATCTTCTTGGCCAGGGAGGTCAGAATGACGGCTCCCGACCTACCAACTCCGGCACTGCAATGAACGAGACACGTGGACTGGTGTTGGTGGTGGCTATCGCTGGAGAGTGATGAATGCTGATTGAGATACTGACTAGACGAATGTTCTTGTTGTTGATGTTGTTGCAGTTTTAGTTGTTTCTTAACGGAGTTCGGCGTGTGGCTGTTGGACTTTGTTTTGGCGTGAACTTTGTTGAAGTTGCTGCCCCCGACCATCAATTCAGGCTGAAATTTTATCTTAGCTTGATCACCACCCTCTATTACGTCACTAGACATCACGTGACACTTGTAAACATTCCAAACCCTCGTTAGGCTGTCCACAGCATCGATGAATTCTAGGTAGCCATTCAGATTGGCAGGGCATCCCTTTTGAGGCCAATCCAAATACTGGAGGTGGTAGAGATGGCGCACCTCCTCGCATTCACTACCTGCAGTTGTCGAGTCAGATGACCTGCTGCTGTTCCAATTGCTCTCTTTCAGGAAGGAAAATTTTGATTTCTTTTTTGGTTTTTCCTTATTGGAAAGTGAGTTACAGCCGTTTGCTTCGTGCACTCGCGTAACTTTCAGCAGTCGCGTAGCGTATGAATTGGAACGTGACGGACCCGAAACAACTTTAACCTTATAATATCCGAACGTCATCTCAAGTTGCGTGTCGTCGTAGGGCAAGTACGAAAAACATTTGTTTGGATCGGTGATGAGTGGATTGGTAGATGGAGCAGCAGCTGGTGAAGTGGAAGAAGAGTCTGCAGTAGGTGGGAGCATCATGACGATGACCGAACATTCCTCTTCCCAAACCATCTCCCAAAAATCGAAAACTGTATCTAAAGAAGTGATTGGTTGATAATTTTTAAAGGAGCTGAGATGAAAATATTACAAAATAAAAGAATAGAAATGATTAGATCGTTGAAATATTTTAAAAACCACCATCGTCACATTTATTATCAACTCGATCATTAATAAATTAGACCGATGTTACGGCCCACTGACTCACCCTGCATAGGAGCTTGTGCTGCGATGAATCTGACAGACTCGTTACCGACGTCAATGAATATTCGACTAGCGTTGATGTAACCGTCGGTATTGTCGGGACGAACAGGTAGGAAGACTCGGTTGTCTTCGTACGGTAAAACATATGGGAAGCGATTTCTGTGGCGGTTGCGTTCCAGGGCTGCTGTGGTGCAGTCACTTTTGAGGCGCTTCTTAGGCACCTGTAATAATTAATGGTTAACTAAAAGCTTTTCCTGCTTTTATTTAGCTATTTAATGATAAATAAACTTTGTAAAAGCACTAATTTTTTTTAAATGTTTAGATTAAACATGCAAATTGAAACAAAATCAATTAAATTTCAAGAGCTATAATGGTGAACGATCAAATTTATTTGAAATAAGACAAATATAATAAGTGAGGCACGTTGTAGTGAGTAACCTGTTCAAAATCAGCAAATAACAATCCTTCAGGGAAGTTCATCAGCTCGTCATCATCATGTTCCTTAGCGCCTTTTTTCTCTTCATGGTAACTACCATCTTCATCATTCTTATTATTGTCTTTACTTTTGTCACCATTATTATTATTATTATTATTATTATTATTATTATTATTATTATTATTATTAGTAGTAGTAGTAGTAGTAGTGGTAGTGGTAGTAGTAGTAGTATTGCCACCAATAATTTTCTCATTAGGAATCTTGTCTTCGTTAATTGTACAATTTTCAGGCGTTGGTGCATTGCCGTCGGAACAGCTATTGAAATGACTACTGCAGTTACTGTTGCCAACATCTGATACTGCATCAGTCTCTCCATCATTTTTCATCTTTAGGACTCCAGCATCCACATCATAGGAGCCAACAACATCAGCTCCAACAACACCAATCTGATCTTCACAACAAATGTTCGCCTGATCAACAATGGAACCATCTGCAACGATGCAATCACTGACACCGACGTTTTCGTAAAAAGTTCTTTCGAGTACATTTGTCCTGTTGAAATTCTTATTCTCGTTCCTCTCAGCCCCAACAACTTCATCAACGTCAACATTCGCGTGCAGCACTGATGCTGGTAGCAATGGAGAGAGTAGTTGAGTATCAGAGACGAATGAAACAATGGAATTATTGCTGGATAGCATCATCTTGGCTGTTTGATTTGTAGCCTGGAGTTTGTTTGATGGGAAGTTTGGGAGGTTTGGTCTCCATGAAGCTCTGACGTCGAATGCAACGTTTGCAACTGGGTCCATCTTCTTGTTCTGCAGTTTGTTGTGTTTGATCATCGACACGTTAGGCATGCTCTGAGCAACTGCTTTCAACAAATTGTGCTTGTCGAGGATGTAGTTTTTGTCGACGTCGTTGCTGTTTGCTGCTGTGTTTGTTTTCATCGCAGTTTGGTGGTTGTCATGTGACACGATGTCATGAAAGTTCTTATTGTAGTTGAAAATGTTGAAATTGTTGTTAATGTTGTTGTTGACGATGTTGTGGTTTAGGTTAATGTTTTTGCTACAGGTGCTGTTTGCCTTCCTAATGTTGGCACGATTGATGTGTTTATTCATCTTCCAGTGTGGTCTGAATGCATTTGTTGCAGCAGTTGTGTTGCTTATCGTTGGACTCAACTCAGAAGAAATGTTGCCAAAGTTTTTGAAGTAAGCGTTGTTTTTGTTGAGCAAGTGAGGTGAGGTTACCATAGAATCAGCAGCACAGTAACAGTTGTTACTAACATTGCTATTGCCTGGAATGTCGTCAGCATAATTTGAGTTGATGTTCATGAGGCATCTCTGCTTGGCTATGGACGACGACGAAGAGGTTAGGTGTTGCTGAGTAAAACATTGTTGTTGTTCCGGAATTGTTTGTTGTTGCAGCAGTTGTTGTTGCTTGTGGTTCGCTTGTATCAAAGCCATGTTATTATTGCGTATGTAGCTAGGTAGTTGATTGTGCATTTTGTACTTTTTGACGAGGTAGTTGTTGATTCGTTGATGAGTGATGAGGTTGTCGTGGTTGTTGATGTTGCTGCTGGCGTTGAGACTCACACTCCTATCAACAGGCTTGCTAGGCAAGTGGCCGTTAAGATGTAGCTGTGGTTGTGGCTGCGCCGTTTTTGTCGTTTGTGGTGGCTTCATTGCTGTTGTCAGATTGGTGCTACTGATGTTGTTGAAACTTTCTTCTATCGATCTACCATAGCTGAGTGGAATAAACACAACCAATTTTTTATTTATAAACATATTCTCAAATAATTAATGAAATCAATCATATATAAATAAATAAATATATATATATATATTATATATATTTAACATAATATATCACATTGTATGAATAATATCTTAAAATATTCTACATTACATCTAGTGGAAAGTATCCAAACAAAGTTAACATGATTGAATGGGATATCAAATTTCATCTATGCAAAAATAAGAATCTGTCTTCTCATGCCAACATAATATAATATCAGCACGTTTGGAACATCATAATTGTCATAATCATCATCCTCTTCACCACCATCTTCATCATCATTTCTTCATTAACAACAACAACAACAACAATAACGTAACTGATAGAGCTATAGCAACATAACATCATCATCCACATCATGTCAGGCATTAGTTGGCATCTTTATATTATTTCATTAGTGGTATTTTTATAACTAGTATCGTCATCAACCAATAGAAACAGGAATCATCATCATCATCATCTTCGTTACCATCATCGTCATCACCATTATCGTCTTCATCATCGCCATCAATGTCGCCATCATTATACCAACTCAATCAGCTACATATCATCGTCATCACATCATCACAAGTCATCATCTGTACTGATATCTTAACTGATATCTTGTACTGTACTGAAATCTTGGATTGAATCCAAATAAGCGACTAAGTTGGGATTTAAAGGTAACAGTAAACGAACAAACAAAAAAAGCAAACAAACGAATTAATAAAATATTTAACAAGAAAAAAAAACATAATAACAAAATAATAAGTAAACGCCAATACCAATACTGATGAGAAATCTAGAATTGAGAACCTGATATCAGGCTGGCTGTAGCAGGCAGATACAACATTATTGCCAGGGCTCCAGTTTGGTCTCTTAGAAAAGGGAGATGATGACGGCATTTGAGATGGGGAATAGTAGACCTAAAAAAGTTTTACACGCTCTTAAAACATTCCATTATTATTTTAATATTTTGAAATACAATAAGTGTTACATTTTTTTTAAATAAAAAATAAATTTATAACAAAAAAAAGAATTTCACTGTATGCTTCAACAAATCAAAGACACATGCGAGAAAGAATTGACAACCTTATTAAATTGTTGAAGCATGTTATTATTATTTAGATTATTATTATTATTAAAACGAGAATCAACATTCATAAGTAAATGTTGTGGCTGTTGTTGTTGCTGCAGCTGCTGCGATATGAGTTGTTGGTGTTGTTTTTTCAGCAAGTTGAGGCAGTTTTGGATTTGTAGTTCCTGTTCTCTGTGTTCTTCCTCCTGCTTCTCCAGCAGTTCCAGTTGTCTTTGAATGTACGTTTTGTTGTTGTTGTCGCAGTTACTCATCTTCATTTCATCTGTGTCACTGCTAATGTTGTTGTTGATGTAGTTGTTGTTGTTGGTGGTGGGGTAGTTGTTGCAGGTGTTTGGTTCGTATTGGAAATTGCCAGTATTACAATATGGACCATCATTTCCAATGAAATTGAAGTTAAAAACATTTTCAGGTTCACTTTCTTTTGCTCTGACTAACTTCTGCATCAGTTTGTTCCTCTGTTGCTGTATTAGAAGCTGTTGCTGCTCGAGTATTTGTCGCTTCTGTCGAACTTGTTGCTGTTCTTGAAACTTTTTAATGAAGTCTGGAGTCGACAGAAACATTTGTTGTGAGTTGTTGATGTTGTTGTTGAAAGTAAATTGTTGAGATTTTGTGTGCAGCTGTTGATCGGATTGTTGTGCACGTTGGTAAAGTGCCAAGTTTTGTTGGAAAGAGGAAGATGATGATTGCACGACTTGTGATTTCTGTAGTTGATGAAAAAATTGTTGTTTGTGTTGTTGTGGTGAGGTTGATTGATGGGGCTGCACCTTAATGTGAATGGACAAATTTTGTTGTGAATTCAAATGCTGAGATGGCTGTCGTTGAACAAAAATTTGCTTTTGAAGCTGTTGTTGTTGTTGCAGCTGCTGTTGATGTAACTGTTGTTGTTGTTGCTGATGCAGCTGCTGTTGTTGTTGCTGCTGTTGCAACGTGATCTGTTGTAAAACTTGAAGCTGCTGTTGTTGCTTTTTTCGAAGTTGCATGACTTCTTCGTAAGTTGGTGTGGGTTTGTACGAAGGAAGTTTCACATTCAATAGCTGGTGTTTATCATTATCATCAAGGTCATTGACATTGTGAACGTTTCCATTGCTACTGTTGTTGTTGTTGTTGCAGCTCCCATCCAAATCATCACTATCGTTGAACTCAGAGATGAAATTGCCTCCTTGTTTAGCAAGAAGTATTGCAAGCATCGAATCACTAGTAGAAAATTGAGTTATGTTGTTGTTGTTTGGTGGCAAGAGTGTTGTGCTTGTTCCAAAATATCCATACTTAGAATTCTTAGGCATGTTGCCATTCAGATCATCAAAATATTTTCTGGCTTTTAATTTACTGTCAGTTTCAACATCAAACAAGTCATTATTACCAGATTTAGGAATCATTATATTGTCGTTCACACTAAAATTACCATTGGCGCTGTTGTTGTTGCCGTTGTTGGCGACGAAAGCATCAAACTCGTTAACATTAGAGAGTAATGGTATGACGTTTCCACCGTAAGCATATCCACCTTCATACACGTCATCATTTATATCCTCATCGCCATTAAATATTTTATCGTTTAGGTAATCACCAACGTTATCAATAACGCTATCGTTTAAATCATTATACTCAGAATTATCATCGCGGGTTAGTGTGATTTGGTTGCTATCCTTAATAACGCTAGCCATGTGATTATAACTTCCATGTTCATTGTCATTTAACGAAAGGTCATCATCGTTCTCATCATTTCTCTCATCACCACCATTACCATCAATGATGTTGCTGTTGTTGTTGTTGTAATCACTGCCAGTGCTGTTTTGAATTAAATGTTTGTTATTTGCTACGCACTAACGAATAAATTCACTTGATGTGCAACAAATTTCAATGAATAAATTATGTTAATTATTATGCAATAAATTTCTATAGATAAATTCATTTATTAAGTAACAAAAATTTCTATGAATAAATTATGTAAATGAACCTCGTCTTCGTTGCCAATGGCAGATTGGAAGGAATGAAGGAAGCAAGCTGTGCATTATTTATAAGCATGTTCTTCATAGATTCTGATGTTCAAAATTAATAAAACTATTTATAACATAATTAATAATAATAATTATTATTATTATTTTTAAAAATACTTTTTCATGTTAAAATGAAAATCATAGATACGAAAGTTAAATCTACAAAATATAAGAATTTTTTGGGAAAATATTTAATAGGATTTAATGAACGGACGGTTTAAAAAATACATTTAAGAGCAAACAAGCAAGCGAATGAATGAATGATTGGAATGAATGAATGGAATAAATGAATGAGTGATTGACTGAATGAATGATCGAATGAATGAATGAATGAATGAATGAATGAATGAATGAATGAATGAATGAATGAATGAATGAATGAATGAATGCATGCAATAGCAAATAAAATCATTGATCATTTCATTTTCAGATAAAAATGAAGAACTTAGCCACCTTCAATTTGTATCAAATAATCATTAACAGCTTCGTAGTGGCTGCCATCATCTTGCTCCACTGTATTACTAACCTGAGAAGGTTGTTATATTTCAAATATATTTCAAATATATAGCAACGAAATTTTCTTAAGATCACCAAAACAAACGCGAACAAATGAAATAAAACATGAATGTGAGAGCGATCTTGGTGAGTGTCCGAAAGAGAGAACATTTAGAGAGTGAATTATTGGCGAATTAAAACTATAAAAACATAAAAAAACTTTTTGCAAAATTCTTAAAATCTTTTCCTGAAATTATCAAAATAGGTAAAACAAACAATGAGAAATAGAACAAGTAGA